GGAGGGGCGGGCGCAGGGGGCTTCCTTTCTGTATCGCCCTTTTTTTTTTTGCTCCACTGCCTGAGAGTCTTATGAACATTCCACTGGTGAGGACCACCACTTGCTTGTTCTTGTCCTTTTAATACCAAGCAAAGTTAGAAAAAAAAAAAGAAAAAAAAGAAAAAAGAAAAAAGAAAAGAAACCGGCGTCTCACAAGAATTGCTTATACACCAGGTGCACGGTCCCACTATCAACGGGGATTGGATTAAGATCCTGAATCTGGGCGTGTTTTAGGCAGAGATGCAGAAAAGGAGTTCAATCTCGATTTTCTGCTCTTGTCCACAAACGCAGCCAGATTCAGGCGTTCAATCCAATCCTCTTTGCTAGTGGGACCTTGCCCCAGAGGAAAGCTCGGAATAAATTTCAATAAAACTGTTCATGAGGGTGTACTCACACTACCTTCTTCCCCCGAATACAACGTACAGTCATTATAGCTGTATTTGAGCCATCTTTTAGTCTATATACAGCTATAATGACCGTACGTTGTATTCGGGGGAAGAAGGTAGCCGTACCTCAAATGTATCTGACCGCATTCACGGCCATACCTGCATGTATCTGGCCGAAATTCCGTCCAAAAATACGTAAATAAGTCGGAGTGTGAGTATGCCCTGAGGCAGCCGTGATTACGCTTTTGAAAAAAGAAAGGGATTCGGCCCTTTATTCCAAAAGGTAATTCAAAACTACACTATGTTCTTCTCTCAAATTCTTTTTTTCGCCTTTCACTTCCTTCCTACCACTACTCCTAAGACTATATAGAGGGGACCCCTGCAAGCATAGGGCCTCACAAACGAGGTAATTCATGTTGCCCCCCGCCCCAACAGCGGTAGTCAGAGATGGGGTGGGGCCGCCGGTGGGGGTCCGGCTAACGCAAAGACCGAGCATTTTGCCAGTAGCTGCGCCTCCCTTTCCTCTCCTCATAGACTGACTCTTTTTTTTTCTGTCTTTTTTTTTTTTGGTGGAAGAAGAAGAAGGGAGACTGACCCTTCATGACCTACCATTCATTCAGACATTCAGAAATAGAACTGATTCTGCAGCTGAGCAGCTTTAGGGCCAGATCCCACCGGCAAAGAGGATTGGAATGAGTGTCTGAATCTGGACGTGTTTGTGGCGACATGCAGAAAACTGTGATTGATCTGCTTTTCTGCATCTCTGCACGGAACACGTCCAGATTCAGACACGTATTCCAGTCGGCCTTGCCAGTGAGATCTGGCCCTTAGATACCCCTTTCCATCACCTTAGGCTATGTGCATACTAGGACTGCATATATTATATAATATTATTTCTGTTTGTGACGATATACCTCCTGATGAGTCGGTGAAACTCCGACGAAACAGTTTGTCACAGCCCCTCGTTTGTTGTCCTCTTCTCCCTTCCTCCCTCTCTGCCTACGGTTTACCGTAGGCAGTTCTATTATATATATATTAATGATATGACGATATATATATATATATCCTATTCATCACCTTAGATGGTTCGAACCACCAGTACCTCCTAAACTTGCACTTGTATAACAATACACATTGGCTGCCAGGTGGATGCACAGGCCTATCACTTGAGCAGAGATGGGCAGAAGGCTGATGGTCTCATGACTCTCATGGGGTGCAACTCCCACGAAAGATGCATCCTCTGTGCGACTCAAGCCTAACACTTTTTTTTTTTTTTTTTTTTTTAAAACATTAACTGACAGGTAGGATTTTTTTGTTTTTTTCCAAAAATAAAAATAAAAAATTGTTTTGTCCAGAAACAGCCGAAGACAGTTCTGCCCATCTGGTGGCCTGAGCATGGGCTGAAGAGGCTGTCGGATTGACACTGCAGAGGCTGACAGACGTGCTTTTTCTCAGAATTGCTCTGCGGGGTAATCAGGGCAGACACATACAATGCTGGAAGGACTATGTGAAAACGTCAAAACAATTGTGAAAACTTCAAAAAAGAGATTTGGTGAAAATAATTTGGTCAAATATCTTTGTGCTCCTCGGGGCGTCATTAGACACTCGTCAGGGCGTCCTCGGGCTCCGGGCCCCAGTTAGGGCCCGGTTCAGACCAGGCCCAGATAGGCCTCAGGCAGGGCACGTTTAGGGCCAAACGGCCAGAGGCCGGTACCCGTCCAGCCCAGGACCAACCGGCGGCATTTCAAAGGCTGCCACATTTTGGTGCCAAACCAGTTTGAATCTGGACCGTCGATTCAGATCAACGGTCCAGGCCGGTAGGTACTCGTAGGCAAGAGGCCGGCCCAGCACTACAAAAGGCTGGGTACCAGCCTCAGTCCAGTAAGTTAGTACGGACTGGGTTAGTCTTCAGGATTAGCGCAGCAGCCCACCGTTAACTCAATTCGCGCAGCGCTGCGGCAGCGAGGAGCAGCGAGGGAGCAAGGTTCAACGGAGAGCGGATTAGCACAGCGCTGGGTGCCTCGCCAGTTACCGGCCCAGCCTTCCTTTGCAGCGCCAYAGCCAGGTATCAGGGAGGAAGGCTTCGCCTTCTCTCCCTCCTCTCCTCTACCATTTCTCTCTCTCTCTCTCCCCTCCTACCTTCTCAGTCTAAGTCTACTTCTACTTCTCCTACAGGACCACTGCAGTATTGGGAGATGGTTACGATTTCTGACGACATATGAGACAACGACATGGGGACTACGAGTTGAGGACTTCTGGGGATCTGATTTCATCTTCCTCTCGGAGATGTACTTGACATTGTGAGATCGACATCTGGGATATCGTGAGACTTGTCATTCGCGACATTTCAGATTTCCGTCACTTCTGACAGTTCACGATTGTGGAGCGACTCGCGACATTTCGTGGCATTTAAAACTCAGGCCGTGACAAGACTGCACTTTTTTGGAGTTGCAGTTGCGCACCGTGACACTGGAACTTGAGAGACCGCGCGGTGCGCCGTACCGTAGTTACTTTCTTTCTTGTTCTTTCCTTCTTCTTTATTAACGGCGGCAGACATCTCCCCGAGGATGAAGAGCACCCTTCTGGGTTGGAGTCTGTGGCTTTTCAATGGCTCTGATGATCTGATCTATATTCGGCGGGAACGACACTGCTCAGCAATTGGTCCAGCCTCGAGCAGGAAAAAAAAAACAAAAAAAAAAAACCGAAATTTATGTTTAGAACATCCACAAGACCCACACGCGATTCCGGTTTGGGCTCCATCTATTGGTGGGGAGCAGCACCTGCTGGAAACCGGAAGCGCGTGTGGGTCTTGTGGATGACTCACCATTAATTAATTGATTGATTGATTGATTGATTGATTGATTGATTATCAATACCTACACTCTGTTATCATTAAATCGCAAGTTGCAATTTTTTTTTTCTTTTCTCGCACTTTCATGGTTAATTAGGTCGTTAAAATTGTAATTTTAGGTTTGCGACATTTCTCCATATCACGCAATTAGGAAATCATTAATTACGAGTAACCCTAATCAGCGCTAATTAGGGTTAGTCCTAACCTAATCTAAACGACCTACCGAACCTATAGGAAGTAAGTGTTAGTCAGGCACCGCGCCAATCAAGGCTGATCGGGCGTGAGCTAGGCCATATTCGAACTGCAACTTCACGGAACTTTCACTTTTTGCAAACTGCATCTTTTTTGCGTTTGAAAGGTTGAATCTTTCAAACAAATTGTGTATCTTCCTGCTACCATTCATTTCTACTAAATGAGTGACCTCGTGATGATGCTAAATTCTTCCGACGAAATTTGGTGAAATTTTTTAGTTACGTCTAAACGTTTAAACTTGCKTAAACTTATTCATTTCTTTTATTAATGCAAATTTAAATTTTCTTGATTAAATATTTAACGTTTGTGAAATTCATTATTGCAAATGTAAATATTCGTTAATCAAGTATTTAATCTTTTGCCAAAATTAAAATTTTATTTAATTTCCCGAAATTTGAAAATTCGTCGGGGGGAGGGAAAATTTTTCTCTTGATTAGTGTCAAGGTCAGGGCGGAACGGGACTGTCTGTGCATTGCTTGCCTGCCCTCCCTTCTTCTCACCCCTACCTTCTCTTTCCTCCCTTCGGTCCTATAGACTACAGTCTCCGGACACGTCAGGAGAGTGACACGTCATAAGTGCCACGTCAGCAGAGTGACACGTCAGAAGTGCCGCGTCAGCAGAGTGCCATGTCAACACAGTGACGCATCAGTGACACGTCAGAGTGCCACGTCAACAACAACGTGCAGTCGGACACTAAATGCGCCGCAGCCAACGATTGGCAGAGCGCGAATCCAAGGCAGCCAAGCCCCAACAGGGACCCAAGGCATCGCAGATCCCGCGCAAGCGACGCACAGCCATGGCTGCAGCAGCTGGCCACGCAGACAGCAACATGCCAGGCAGTCCCAAGAGGCCGGTTCCCCCTCCTGTGCCAGTTCAACGGGCAGATGAAGACGCACTCGCGTTTCTCGCGCGTCTCCAATAGTATACGGAGACCAATGCCACCGAACTCCACACATGGGAGAAGGAGAATGTCGCCCGACGGGAAGCCATCCGACTTCAACAAGAAGCGGAACAGGCAGCACGTCAGCAGGCCGCTACCGACTCTGCAGCAGCCGCAAGGCAGCAGCAGCAGCAACTCGAGGCAAGTCAGACTCAGGCTCGGTTCCGGGCTACCATGAACCTTCTCGACGAAGAAGCCGCATACGGCAGAGTACTTCGACAGCAGCACTTCCGAGCAACTGAGGAGCAAGAAGAACCAACCGAGGACGAGAGAAACAGGGAAACTACGACAGTCTTGATTGAGAACCCGCTGTACACGTGCAATTGGCAACAACGGGAACTGTTGGCTATGCGGCAGGTCCTCATCCGCCATGAAGGCAACTTCCAGGCAATGGATCAGAACATCACTGCGTTGCAGGCTGACACCGGCATGCTGCAAGCCACCGACAGCCAACAGCAGGCCATCAACGACCGACTGCAGGACTCTGTCGATGCCGGGATGGCACGACTGTCCGCAGTCGAGTCAACGGGCGGTGCAGTTTCAGATAGCAGCCCAGCTTTGGCCGCTCAAGCCAAACAGCTTGAGGAGTGGATCAACCACTTGGTCGCATCCCTCGGCGCCATCAGCAAGTTTGCTGGACGGTCGACAGCCAGCAATTAGCCGCAAATGCTCAGCGACCGCGTTGACCAACAACCGGCCGCTGCCGCCAAGGAATGGAGAAGTTCGACGACTATCACAAAACTGATCCGCTGCAATGGTGGATGGCGTTCAACACGGAGGCCGACGTACATCATACTCCGCCCCTACGGCGGATGGACGCATTCTACCTCCAACTTATAGGCGGGGTGCAAGCATTCATGACGCACACGACCGTCACGCTCGAATGTACCATCGCCACCCTCCACACGAAGATCACGTGGGAGGAGTTTGAAAAGAAGTGGAAGACACGGTTCATGGTGAACAATGACAAGCGTCACGCCTTGAACAAGATCTTCCACATCTTCCAAGGCCAGCAACCTTCGCGGGAATGGCTAACGGAGTGGCAAAGACTCGTTGCCACCCCGAAGTTGAACCTGCCGTTCGACTCAATTCGCGACGAGTTCTTCGCCCGATCTTGCGACGCTTTGACAGCTGTTGTCGGCAGCAAATTCGAGTATAAGAACTTTGACGACATGATCGCCAAAGCTAGAGAACTTATACAAGGTAACCGGCGTGCGGCTAACGAGCCTCGCCAACAGCCCGGTTACGTGGAGAAAGGCAAGGGACAACGGACGGCGCAAGTAGCAGCAGTCCAGCAAGGAACAAGTGAGGACCACGCAACCGCTTCAACATCAAGTGATGGAGATGTGGCGGCAGTGATACCACCGCGATGCACGAAACCCCGAGGGGGAAAGAAGGCGAAAGAAGCGTCGGCGGAGGGAGAACGACAGGCACCATGGACGAAATTTGGCATTACCAAAGAAATGTTCAAGTTGCGACAGAAATGGTCATGTTGTTTGTGGTGCAACAGCACCAAACACATCACCAGTGCCTGGCTCGACAAGGATAAGGAAAATGTCAAGCGTTCAGGCTCGGGAAACTGAGAACGNTGTTTGTGGTGCAACAGCACCAAACACATCACCAGTGCCTGGCTCGACAAGGATAAGGAAAATGTCAAGCGTTCAGGCTCGGGAAACTGAGAACGGCGGGAAGTTCAGCGACAACATTTCCCAGTCCGCCGGAGTCGGCTGCCTTGCTAGCAGCCTCTCTCACATCCGGGGACATCACGGTGGTTGCAAGTTCTCGCGTTGAGTTTGAGAACTATGCTGTCGAGCTGGTCCCACCGTTGAACCAGCCTCTCCACGTGCAAGATTCAAGCGTATGTGCGGCATTTCCGTCGTCGGACAACGAACCGGTTGCTTCGCCAGCCCTTCTATCGGAGGACCCGTCAACTTGCACGAGACTTGAGGATCTCGACCCGTTGATGGTTGAGGACTTCCAATGGTTGCCTCTTCCCTCCACCGGTTCTTTGCCAACTCTGCATTGCAATGCCTTAATGGCACATCTGCGGGAATACTTGCACGCTGCAGTACCACCTCCGTCGACGAACGACGGAGTAGCGGTTGTTGACCTTCGTAACTATCTTGCGAAGATCGACTGCGAGTACGCAACGCAACGGTACGTCGACAACGACGCGGCGCTCCTCTACATCCACATTCAGATCGGAAAAGCGACCTGCAATGCCTTGATCGATTGCGGAGCGACTCGCAACTACATCAGCCAAGACTTCATGGCACACGTCAGGCTTGGCCCGCGCGTTCGAAGGAAAAGTTAGCCTACGGCCCTACCCACGTCACGTTGGCCGACGGTCACACGCAAAAGTCAATCGACCGATGCGTTGACTCGGTGCCCATGTACTTTGCCCCGCTAGCATGCGAGGCCGTGTCTTTCGACATATTGAACACCAAGTTCGATATGATCCTAGGCATGTCGTGGCTGCAAAGCGAAGACCACCCGGTGAACTTCCATCGCCGCACCGTTCACGTTCGTGATCGGCGTGGCGAACTAGTCCCATGTACGGTGTCGCTTCCTCATCCTTCGATTGGTTGTCATGTGGTATCCACGGCGAGCATTCGCCAATCCATCCGGCGGAACGACATCGAGGAGATGGGCATATGTTTTCTTCACGCCCTCCCACCTGGTGATCAGCCCAAGACGGATACATCGGACCCACGCATCATTAAGTTGTTGGACAGCTATGAGGATGTCTTTCAAGCTCCCGCCGGAGTCATACCGGATCGGCCCATACGCCCATGAGATCACTCTCGAGGACGGCGCCGTACCTCCGCGCGGATGTATCTACCGCATGAGCGAAGAGGAACTACACGTGCTTCGTGCACAACTAGACGACCTCTTAGGCAAGCGCTGGATTCGCCCTAGTTGTTCGCCATACGGTGCTCCCGTTCTCTTCGTCCGGAAGAAGAACAAGGACCTCCGTTTCTGCATCGACTATCGAAAACTTAACGTGCAAACGATCAAGAACGTCGGCCCTCTCCCTCGGATCGATGATCTTCTCGAGTGACTAGGCGGCGCCAAGTACTTCTCGAAGCTTGACCTCAAGTCCGGTTATCACCAAATCGAGATTCAGCCAAGATATCGGTACAAAAGCGCTTTCAAGACGCGGTATGGGCACTTTGAGTGGATCGTCATACCTTTCGGTCTCACCAATGCCCCGGCTACTTTCCAAGCGGCTATGACGACGGAATTCCGCGACTTACTCGACCGCTCCGTACTCATTTACCTCGATGACATCTTGGTTTATAGTCGGTCGTTGGACGAGCATCTCGAGCACCTTCGCGCCGTCTTAAGCATCTATGACCCGAAGTTGCCAACCAAAGTGACTACGGACGCTTCCGGTTACGGCATTGGCGCAGTTTTGGAACAGCATGACGACACAGACTGGCATCTGGTTGAGTACTTCAGCCAAAAGGTGCCGCCCACCAACACTCTTGATGATGCGAGGAAAAAGGAACTCCTAGCTTTTGTCATCGTACTTAAGCGTTGGGGTCACTTTCTCCTCGCGCGTCAGCGATTCACGTGGGCAACGGACAACAATCCATTGACATATTACAAGACGCAAGACACGGTGAGCAGCACGATCGGTCGATGGATGTACTTCATTGACCAGTTCGACTTCACCTCCAAGCACATTCCGGGCTCCTCGAACAAGGCAGCGGATGCTCTCTCGCGAAGACCTGATCTTTGCGCCTTGGTGCACTCCACATTCGGCCTCGACGAGAACCTGCAACAGCATTTCGTAAACGACTACAAGTCGGATCCGGGATTCTCCACACTCTATGCAGACTTATCATTGCATCAACCGCCGGCAAGCAACTATCGCATTGTCGACGGCTACTTGCTTCTTCATACACGAGGTAAGGACTTGTTGTGTGTTCCCCAAGACCGCATGTTGCGCACTCGCCTCCTTGGCGAATACCATGATTCGCGGCTGGCGGGACACCTTGGCGTCGCACGCACACTAGCACGACTCCGCCAGCAATTTCACTAGCCGAACATCATCAGCGACGTCAACCGGTACATTCAATCATGCGCAGTTTGCCACCGGAACAAAGGGCGCCATCAGCTCCCTTACGACGAACTGAAACCATTGCCGATTCCTCGGGCACCGGGTCTCTCCATTGCTATGGATGTGACCGGTCCTTTCCCTCGCGATCGCCTTGGTCATGATGGTATTCTCATGGTCGTTGACCGTTTAAGCAAGTACGCTTGATTTCTTCCATGCAAGTATCATGCGACGGCTCCCGAGCTCGCACGACTTTTGCATACCCGCTGGTTTTGCAGCCACAGCTTTCTAGAAGACATCGTCAGCGACCGCGACACTTGTTTCATATCGGCCTTTTGGACAACACTCATGGTGGAATCCGGCTCCAGCATGAAACCGAGTTCCGCACGGCATCCTCAAACGGATGGGCAAACGGAACGTGCGCACCAGATTGCGCAGATGATGCTCCGCACGCTCATCCGCCCGGATCAGAAGGACTGGGTTGACCGCCTTCCCGACATCGAGCACCCGGCGATTGGCGTGACTCCATGCGAGTTGCACCACGGTGGACGGAAAGGACGTATCTTCGCAGACATTTTGCTTCCACAGGCTGCCGATATAGACGCCGTTTGTTCCCCCGCTTCTACACGGAAGTACAGGGAACTGCTGGCCAAAGCCCGCGCAAACATGCAAAAGGTTAGGGTCCGTATGCAGCAGCAAGCGAACCGGCGTTGCATCCCATGTCCAATTCGTGCTGGCGACCTGGTTTGGGTCGCCTCCTAGGAATTTGCGCTCGAGCAGGACGTCTCGCGCAAGCTCCTCCCTGAGTGGTTTGGACCATGGATGGTCACTTCAACAGTTGGCGACGACCCCGTGGGTCCATCATTCATCGTTGAGATTTCCCCGCATTTGACGGTCCACCGGATCTTTCATGCTTCAAAGCTGGCGGTTTACACTACAGCCTCCGCAGCGGACTTCCCGTGCAAATGGTCACAGGACCCTCCTTCAATGGATGGTCATCAGGAGGTCGACCGCGTTCTCACTCATCGCAAGCATGGCAACAAGCCGATGCAGTACAAAGTTACATTCAAGCAATGCGATCCGAACGACACACGCTGGACTTCAAGAGCTGATCTGAAGGCGACAACACCCCTCGTCTGCGCGCATTACGAAAAACAGCGACTTGCTAAGAAAGTTGCCCAACCTGCCCGCCCAGTACAAACATCGGACAGACAACTTCGTCCTCGCAGTTAGCTCGGTCTTTTAAGGGGGGGAGTGTGTGGCATACCGAACCACACAGGGTAGGCCTAGGGGGACGACGGTTCAGACCAGGCCCAGATAGGCCTGAGGCAGGGCACGTTTAGGCCCAAACGGCCAGAGGCCGCTACCGGTCCAGCCCAGGACCAACTGGCGACGTTTCAGAGGCTGCCACATTTTGGCACCAGACCAGTTTGAATCTGGACCGTCGATTCAGATCAACGGTCCAGGCCGGTAGGTACCCGTAGGCAAGAGGCCGGCCCAACACTACAAAAGGCTGGTTACCTGCCTCAGTCCGGTAAGTTAGTACGGACGGGGTTAGTCTTCAGGATTAGCGCAGCAGCCCAGCGTTAACTCAATTAGCGCAGCGCTGCGGCAGCAAGGAGCAGCGAGGGAGCAAGGTTCAGCGACGAGCGGATTAGCGCAACACTGGGCGCCTCGCCAGTTACCGGCCCAGCCTTCCTTTGCAGCGCCATAGCCAGGTATCAGGGAGGAAGGCTTCGCCTTCTCTCCCTCCTCTCCTCTACCAT